GAGCAGGCAGAAAGACGGAAGTACACTGCTGAGGGGAGCAGCGGGCGGCAGGAGAGGTCTGCGCGCCATGTGGGACCCTCCTCCTGTGGCTGGGGAGCAGCCGGGGATCGAACTGGCACTGCAGAGGCTGCGGGCAGCTTCACAAGCCAGTGCTCAACCACTGCACCACCTGGGAGGCCCTCATTTCCAATTTTTTTAACTTGATTTTGTTCTGAATTTTGTTGTGGCAACTTGATTAGCTTTCCTAAGTTCTCCAGTGTTTTCTTTGACTTGCTTTTCTGAGTTTTCTACTTTTTCTTTGAGTATCTTTATTATAATATTTGCAAACTCTGTCTATGTCTAATAGGAAAATACAATCTTCTATCATTTTATGTTTGTAGTCTAGAGAGTTGTTTTTACCTTGTGGTGTCATACTTTCTTGAGGTCATGAATTTCTATGTGGTATATTTTTCTCTCAGTCCATTTTGCTACTAGAGGTCTCCATATTTTATGATTTTCTTCAATAATGATTTTCTTCAATAAAATGCTAAAGCATTTTATTTATTTACTTACTTGATTATTTACTTACTTATGCCTTTACTGGCTTCTGTATATATTTAGATCTGTTTGTAGTGGCTGATTGTGAAGTTTGTGGAGGGACTCAGAGGAAATCAGATGTTGGCATTGATGGGTTGAGGTAAGGCTTGCTTTAATTTATGGCTTCCCAATAACCTCCCTTTCTGGGTTTTGGGATGAGATATTCAGCAGTACCAAGAGGTAGGAAGGAGGAGTGCAGATCAGAATCCCCACTCTCTATTATGTTTACAGGGATTCAGCTGGGATATACCTCAGCTCCTCCACAAAGTTTTCCCCACTTTCAAGGGAATATGCCTTCACACAATCTTTGCTCTCCTTTCTAAGGCCTCTGGCTAATCTGATTGCCACACCACCAGACTGCTCTATTCCATACCACACCCTCCAAGGTTCCTCTCTCTACCCACCTTCTGTTCAGTGTAGCATGAATCTCCTGGGTATCAGTCCTATTGAAGTCTACCCTGATCTCTACTGACCAAGGGATAATCAATCCCATTCCTATCTGAGAGACTATCTGTACAAACAATATCCCTCTGGCTCATGGCTCCAGAGCTACAGCCCATGGGCACCAGACCATGTAGTTGCCTCTTCTGGGACCTTCAGGGTCTGCTCTGCTGCTTGTCAGAACCTATCAGATCTGGGTTGCTTCCAGGACACTCACCTGAGCTCACTGGGGTCTATGAGGATGCACCAATGTCTGCAGAGGTCTGCTATGGTCAGTCAGCTTCCAGGACCCGACCCAGAAATTTGCAGCAAGGTCTGCAGGAACATAATGTGGCAGGTCTACTTGCAGGTCCTGTCCCAGGGCTCAGGGTTCTCTGAGGTCTGCTGAGAGTTACTGTGCTAGGGCCTTCCCACCAGACCAGTGGGGATCCCCTTACCCTCCTGGGCAGACTACCTGCTTGGTCCATTCCACTACTCACTGGGGTCCCCCTCTTTCAGAGGTTACTCCTAGCATGTGTTATAATTGTCTGTTTTCCCTTCAGGAGTTATGGGATTTGTTCTATTGAAATCTAGCTATGAGTATGTGAAAGAAGTAGAGGTGAGCTTAGTTGTTTCATTCTGCTACCACCTTGCCCACCCTCAAGTCTATGTTCTAAAGTCTATAAAGCTTAGCATGCATTTGAGGCCTTCCAAGGTCTGACTCTGCCTTCTTTCCTCCCACACTAGCCAGAGTAACATCTCTTCTGTATCCTCTCTTGCACTGAGAGTCTTCCTTACTGACTCGATCGATATTAAATTGCATTCTCCTTTCTACTGTTATTTAGAATCAGAGTATGTATCTCTTCAACAAATTATAACCCCCTGAAGGATCATCTAAATAGTGTTTTGTGGGCCTTCCTGGTGGGGCAAGGGGTTGAGATGCAACCTATGAAGAAATACGCAGCTACTGCAGCGCAAGTTGGATCTCTGGCCAGGGAGCAACCCACATGGTACAGCAGAACTCTCCTGACTTGCCCGCTGCTCCCCTCAGCAGTTTATTTCAGTCAATCTGCCTGGTCTGTTCCCCACTCTGTCTCTGGTGAATCCTCTCACCTCCCGCACCTCTGGCCTGTACCCCAGTTCTTGTATGCATACATAAACAAATCTTTTAAAAAAAAGAAAAAAATAGTGTTTTGTTTTGTATATTATAACTAAAAATGGCAATGTTACTATAAATAGTAAAAACACAAAATTTAAACTCTACAAACAGCAACTAAATAAATGTGTTTATTCTGTTATTCCTTGATCTTATTATTGCTTTTTCATTCAATAGAATCTTCCTTAAGTCTCTGGGCTGGAGACATATTAACAAAGAAAGAAAAACAACAACAAGAAATGAAAAAAAAAAAAAAAAAACCTAAAGAGTAATTTGTCTTTTAAACCTTGAGCTATGAAACACCAAAACATCTTTGGGTAATAGATATCACAAACTGAAAACAGCATTTTGAACAGTAAGTATTATGGTTTCATGTGGATGTACGCCAGAGGAGAAATAGTGGCATGTAAAAGTTAAAATAGTTAAGAAAGACCAGTCTCAGTCAAGGTCTAACTGATTAAAATGATGACAACCTACTAGATTTGTTCATTCCCTTAATATATGCTAGGGACATGCAAGCTCTATAATAGGCAGGCTTTTCATCCATGCATGATTATTCCCTCTCCTAGTGTTGTCCCCAGAACATGGTAAGCACTCAAGTGTTGGTCATGGAATCCTCTATGCTAGCATGGAGTATTACCACATGCAGAGAATGTTCCAAAGGTCCTGCATGCATTAATTCACCTAATTCTCAGAACCATGCTATGAGATGAACAGTAATTAGTCCGATTTTTATAGACACAATGTAGTAAAGAGACTTGCCCAAGGTCACACAGCTGGGAAGAGTAAAACTTAGGGTTCAGAATTAGCAAACTACTGAAAACGTCAAAGAGTAAGTCTGATTCAAGGGCCACTGGTGTTTCTTCTAACTCATTATTTGGGATTCCAGATAATGGCATCACCAGTGATAATGAGGCAATCAAAATATGAGGCAAAGCTTTCACAAAATCCCTTCCATATGCAACATACTGATCTTCTGAAACTTAGAAAGTGCACAGCAACCTCAGAATTCATAATATTGGGGCTAAATCCCAGGAGTTTCTGAATGGATGAGATTGGAGTGAGGACCTTGGGTCTGTATTTTAAGTACAAGTGATACCACTAGTTGTTTGATGTTTTTAAAACACGACACTAGAGTTCTCCAGCAGAGTCTTTGGTTCAGGTTCTGTGCTTTCTTTTCAGGTCTGGCTCTCCACTGGTGTGTGTCTATTAAGAATTTTTTGAGGATGCAGGCTGCTACTGCTACAGAGGACATGGGCATCTTTAGAAGTTCCTCTGGCAACTGGTATCACAAACTTGACCCAAAACAGTTATTCCTAATTTATTTGTCTGTCTATCTTGAGGGCATGGGCTGTGTGTCATCCTTTGCTCCACATATCCAGCTCTTAATTTAGTGAATCTTCTGAATGAATTGATATTTAGCATGAGCCAGGGCCTGTGCTTCAGACCCACCAGCCCTTCTTCCTTTGAGAAACCCACAGTAAAGTGAAGGACAGGGATCCCTAAGACACTGAAGGATTAGGTCACTGGTAGCCACTCATCTAAATACAAGCAACAATGCCGAGAGCAAAGTGAACTAACAAAGGGTGCTGCTCAGGTGGATGTGCAGGATGGGAGACCAGGCTAGAAAACTAGATTAGGAGTTTTTATGGCTGGATTGTGTTCCCCTCGGAGTTTAGTCCTAACCCGCAGTACCTCAGACTGTGACTGTATTTAGAAATAGGGGCTTTCCGGGTGTAATTCGGTTAAAAAGATGCCATCAGTGCAAGCAGTAATCCCATAGGACTGGTGTCCTTACAAAAGGAGGGACTAAATCATTGGCAACTCGAATGAGAGACAGAAGTCCTATCAGAGACATCTGCGGAGAAGAAGTAAAAAGGTTTGAGAAGGCGAGGTAGAGAAGAGTATGGTAAAGAAGTGCAGCTTGTGGAGTTAGGAGGACAGGGAAGCTGCAAATCTTGATGGGGGGTTGGTCTACAGGAGGTGCAGGGACTTAAAAGGCATGGGGGAAAGATAAAGAATTTAATTTGGATAGGTTTCCTTTGAGACCATTGCAGTTAGATGTCTTCCAAGGAGTGGGAATAAAGGTGAGAGATGTGGAGACTGACGTAGAACTCTACTACTCTTGAAGCCAGAGCTGGCCCTGGCAGGGACATGGAGAGGAGGGCACGTGCTCATGCAGGGAGTGCCCGCGGTCTAAGAGTTCCCGGGCCAAATCTTTGGGGTCGCCACAATGTTTGAGAAGAAGAGCCAACCAAACACTGAGGACACCATCCCAAAAGAGCAGAATCAGGGAAAGGAGTGTTGTCAAAGGCCAAGCTGCGTTAGTAGTTTGTTAGTGGTTTTTCAAATATAAGAAAGATTTCTTTGCTCCTGCTAGCGGCCAGCTCGGGCTGGATTTCGCTACTTCACATCATCCCACAAAAGAGTTTCTAGCTGACTGTGTCGATCTTTCTCCCTCTCCGGCACTTGGATAAACCGAGGCAGAAGCAGCGGCGCTCCACACAGCCCCCAGCCGCGCGGTTACCGCAGGGTCGCACGCGGGGACTCCTCCGGGAGCCCTTTCTCCGCGGGCCGACGGGCGGGTCAGCGACTCCCCGCCTGTCCCGGCCCTTCCACCCGAATGGAATGTGGGCGCCCGCGCCCGGGCTCCGGCTCGGCTTGGAACGCCGGCCCGGGCGCCGCGTACGAGCGCGCCGGCCGCGGGGCGACTTCCTCGCGCCTCCCCCGGCTGCGCGCCCCGAGCGCTGGGCGCGGCGCGGCGAGGGGGAGGCGGGCTGAGGGGGCGGGCGAGGGACGCGGGGCTGCGGGGAGGTCGGGGGCGGGGAGCAGGAGGCGGCGGGCCCCGGGAAGAAAAGAACATGGCTCCTGCGGCGGGCAGCGCCGAGCGCGGCGCGGGGCGAGGGCGCGCCGGGCGCCAGTGACCGCGATGGTCCACTCGAGCCGGGTGCAGCCGCAGCAGCCCGGGGACGCGACGCGGCTGCCGGCGCCCCGAGCGGCGGGCCCCGGCCGGCTGATGGCGGGCGGCGCGGCGCTGGGCGCCGGCGTCGCCGCCCCGGGCGGCCTCCGCGAGCCGAGGGGCCTGGAGATCGAGATGGAGCGAATCCGGCAGGCGGCCGCGCGGGACCCTCCGGCCGGAGCCTCGGCCTCCCCCTCGCCCCCGCTCTCGTCGTGCTCGCGGCAGGCGTGGAGCCGGGACAACCCCGGCTTCGAGGCCGAGGAGGAGGAGGATGAAGAGGAGGTGGAGGGCGAAGAAGGGGGGATGGTGGTGGAGATGGACGTGGAGTGGCGCCCTGGCAGCCGGAGGTCGGCCGCCTCCTCGGCCGTGAGCTCCGCGGGCGCCCGGAGCCGGGGTCTGGGGGGCTACCCCGGCACGGGCCACCCGAGCGGGAGGCGGCGCCGGCGCGAGGACCAGGGCCACGCGAGCCCCAGCCCGGCGGGCGGCGGGGACCCGCTGCATCGCCACCTCTCCCTGGACGGGCAGCCGCCCCGGGTGGCCTGGGCGGAGAGGCTGGTTCGCGGGCTGCGAGGTAAGAGCGCGCGTCGCCCCGGCTGCGGCTCAAACGCAGACGGGCGGGCACCCCCCGGAGCCCTCGCCCCCAGCGGGCTGCTTTCCGGGGTCCGCCTCGCATCTGCCTGCGCGTCCCGCCTCCCCTGCAGGAGTGTTCCCCGCTCTGCTAATTCGGCTCTAGTTCCGGTACTCACTACGCCCTGGTGGGTGCAAATTAGTTTTAGACCTTCTGAAAGAAGGTACGGCCCCCAGTGCTTTTACTTCTGGAAATAACTGAAAGCCGTGTTAGCGCAAAAGGGGAACATCTGGATTTTTTTTTTTTCCCTGTAAGGGGGGGGTGGGAGAATGTTTTCATATAGCTAATGTTGGTTGTAACTGCCTATTTGATAATTTCACTGAATCAAAACGGGAATTCAGTTCTAGTTCCCTTGTCAAAGGGAACAGTACGGGGCATCCCAGTTTGGGGAGGAGTATCATTGGGTTGTCATTGATGTTTTGGTGTGTGTGGTTGTTTGGGGAAGGCAGATGTTGAGAATGCACGAGTAGAATAAAATCATATCTTTGGAAATAGTTACTTGGCCGTTTCTAATTAGAGGCATTTTTCTGAAATACTTGTAAGGAAAAAGAACATTGTTTTTAAAAATTAGAAGTATGTTTTTAAGTAACTAAATGAATGTTTTTTGAAATTTCAACAACACAGTGAAGTCACCGAATGTGTCAGAGTTCAGTGCACCTAACTCTCCAAATGGCAGGAAAGGAATTTTCCAATTTGCCACTGTTTCTTAAGAGGATACGAATTTCCCAAGAGCAGATGGGTTCCTATTTTTGTAAAGTTTGGTCAACAGCATCCTTTGAAAAGTGTTGCATTGCTCTTAGCATCCTAATTAGTTTAATCTCACATTTAACAGTTTCCATTCTCAGTTCTGAAAGTTTCCCTTCCTTTCTCTTTTCTGACAGGTTTGAAAATCTTGCACACAAAACCCAGGTGTGTTTAGTCTTTGCATAAGACTTAGGCCTATACTCAAATCCCAGTCCTATCACACATTGGCCATATGACCTTCAGCAATTTAATCTCTTTGATTCCCAATTTTTGCACTTATATTTTAAAAGAGGTAATAATGATAACTAGTCCTTGACTGGGGAAAATTAAATAAGATATGTAAGATGTACAACAAGTCTGCTTGATGTGAGGGCTTCATAAATATAAATTAAGTCGATTATTTAAAAAGTATCCATTTTGGTATTCTTAGGTAAGGAGTTTCTATAGTTAATTTAATTCAGGGCATGGTAAGGTACAAAGAATGACCTATGTAAGTAGATTAGTAAAACAGTAATACTTTGCACACTCAGAAATTAATTAAAGCAGATTATTCATTATTTTACATTGTTTCAAATGTGTTTTTAAAAATATTCACTGAAGTGAGAGAGAAGTTGCTTATAAGTTAATAATGGTAAGTCACGTGACCCTTTCAACTCAGTATAAGCTTTTTATAGCACTTAACCTTTGAATAAACTCTGAATTATAATGAACTATTCATTTTAATATGTGAGTATATGCAAGTTTATGTCTTTGAAAGAAAATTTGCAGGGAATAATTTTAACAGGAGAGCAGACTCAGGAAAATCTTTATTATGGAAAATTTCAGAATAAATTTCAATTAATTTCAGTTATATTTTTATGAAGAAATATAATTGATATGTGACACTTATTAAATACTTAGCACCAACTATTAATGTAGCACTCTGCTAGGTACTACAAAAGGAAATAAATAACACATCATTCTCCTATGGACAGAACTCCAGAAAAACAAAATAAAAGCTATACATGAGTTTTGATTACTTTTCTCTCCTGGGATAACAATGACAAAAATTTTATATGTATTATATTTGTGGAGACCTGGGATTAGGACAGAAAGAAACTTGCAATTTCTAAAGACAGGCAAGGTGAATGAAGTTTGGAGTAGTCAAGAACTTCCCTGGAGGTGTCCCACTTTGGTCACTTTATAGTCACTCAAATTTCCTCCGTTCCTTTATGAAATGGAAGAGTTGAACCTAATCCCCAAAGCTTCCATGGCTCTATGCTGTTGTTTAATGACATGAATGCAAGATGAATAACAAATGATCATTTTTTTTTTTGCTCCTTGGCCAGTAGGTAGGTCTCTCTTCTTAGCAGAAGTAAGACATAAAGGGCCGCCCGCTGCTCCCCTCAGCAGTGTACTTCCTTCCTTCTGCCTGCTCTGCTCCCCGCTCTGGCTCTGGTGAATTCTCTCACCCTCCCGCACTTCTGACTGTACCCAGTGCATGTATAAATAAAAATAAATAAATAAACAAACAAATAAATAAATAAATCTTAAAAAAAAAAAAGAAAGACATAAAAAAGAAATATTGGAGATCTGGTTGTGGAAAGCACTGTGTATAATCATGGAGTTAAGAATTTGCCCTCTTGCTCCCCCAAAAAGAATTTATCCCTAACTATGAGTAAACAGTTGAAAGTATTTGAGCAACAGCAGAAGATGCTGAAAGAAATGATGAGGCAGGCAATGTCAGCACACAGGAGAGCTTGCAGGGGAGACAAGGAGGCAGGAGGACCAGGGAGGAGGCAGACAGTGAAGAGGTAATGAAGGCCTGGACCAAAGGAAGCAAAGGAGGCTAAAAGATGTAAAGACTGCCCCAAACTTAGAGGTTACAGCAACACTCCTATTTACTTTTTTTTTTTATAGCAAATCTTTGTAATGCAAAGATAAAATCTGACCCTTTAAATGAGTCATCATATTTTCTAAATTTTCAAAAGTTAAATGTGTTTATGGATATATCAGCTTGAAGTCATTTTGTGTTTGTTATTTTAGACAGGTGCGCTTTTTTTTCCCCTGTAAAAATCATAAAATACTGAATATATTGATGAGGTTGAACAAAACTGCTATAAAAAATTAAACTCCTTCCTTCCCATTCACTCTGTAGTACCATCACTGTGTGTTTCTAGAACATTTTCATCATACCAAATAGAAACTCCTTCTACTAAACAGTAACTCCCATTGTTCCTTCCCCCTTCCCTGGTCACCTGCATTCTACTTTCTGAATTTCTGGGGACTTTTTATTAGTGGAATCATGTGTATTTGTCCTTTCATGTCTGGCTTATTTCACTTAGTATAATGTTTTCAAGGTTTATCCATGTGGTGGCATGCATCTGACCCTCATTTCTTTCAATAACTAAGTGACATTCCATTGTATGTATTATTCATCAGCTCATCTGCTCATGAACACTTGGCTTGTTTCCACCTTTGACTATTGTAACTTTCCCTCACTCAATTACATCAAATTACACTATAATTTGAACCAGTGAGATTTTGTATTTTCACTGTTGTGGGTATTTTTTTGATAAGTGATTGGTGTTCTGGTTTGTGATAAGAACATGCTAATAACAGATATTGTGCAGTCAACAAACGTTTATTCAGAGTCTTCTTTGTGGTCAGTCCTAGGGACGCAGAGATAGATAATACAGCGTTCTGGCTCTCAAGGAACTCAGTTTAGTAGGGTAAACGGAAGTGTTAGTAAATAATTCAATGCTAGGTCCAAAGTATGGGAAGAATGGAACAAAGGAAGGTAAAAGTCCTACCTGGAGAGGCCAGTGGCAGTGAAACCTGAGTAAAATTTTGATGGAGGAGGAGGGAATTTGAGGAAGGAAAACAGCAGAGGAGTAAGCAAACCTGTAACCTATTGGTACTTCGTACTGTAGACAAAGCCTGTGGGGTCCGCAGTGGGGGGGCTGATATGATCACAGATCAATCTGAGGAGGAATTTAGAGAATGGGTGAAGAGGGTTAATCTGGTTTCTGGGAGACTGAGTCAGGAGAGGGCTAACCGAAGAGGGAGCAGTGACAGGGCTGCCAGCAAGGCCTGAGAGCTGCAGTAGCAGGGAGATAAAGTGGCAAACATGTGGACATGCTGTTCTGGGATGAAACCCCAATGGCTTGATACCATCAACCCAAAGAGGGGAATGGGTTTTAGAGAAAGAAAGAAAAAGAAAAAATCTGACCTGGGGGCATGTGGATGTGAACTGCATGTGGAGTGTGCAAGTGGGCTGGCTGTTAGCTGGCATTTGCTTGTCTACACCTCAGGAGAGGGCTGACTGTGCATTCGAGATTCAGGAGTCAATACCATATCAGGTGGTGACCATATTCTGCAGAAGGTGAACCAGTAGTTGTAAAAAGTCACTTCCCTTTCTAAAGGTGTCCCTACAATTCAAATAAATATTAGGAAAGATTGTATTCATCTTCTTAAAAGGCCCACCTATGTCTGAGCAAAAAACCAGGTTCTTTCATGACAGAAATGCACAGAGAAATGGGTCAGGCTGTTCCCAGCCAACTGAAAGTCCACGTGGATTTGGGTCTTTACTTCATTCTGAAACCTGGACCAACTAGGTATAAAGACCAAAATCCATATGGACTTTCAGATGTGGAACATTTTACAGACTTGAACTTGTTTCTGAAGCTGTAGATAGGACCTTCCAGCCACTCTGAAGTGCTTTAATGTAACATTGCTAATACTCAGAGCTGCCCCACAAAGAAGTACTGGTATCCCATTTTCAGGTGAGGGAATAGAGCCTTGTGACATTAGGTGAGACGTCAGAGCCTGTATACCTACCAAGATAGATCTTTTGTTCCAAACACCACATGGCACCATGTCACCATCAGTAAGTCACAGGAATGGGGTGTATCTGATAGGACAGGGTTAGGGTGAGGCCCAAGATCCACCTAACCTTTTTACCATGGAACTAAAATTTTTATAGGTGAAATGATATAATATTTCACAGCTGAGATTTGTTTCAAAATAATTGGGAAGGAAGGGGGGTATAGGTTTAGATGAACTGAGGCTGACAGAGAGTTGATAATTATAGAAGCCGAGTGATAGGTACATAGGAAACCATTATACCATTCTCTGTGATTTTTAAAATATTTTCCAAAGTAAAAGCATGGTGGCAGAATAGCTTATTTTATTATAAACCTATTATAAAAACATTTTGAATCATTTGTCATAAAATAGTTGGGTTTCTTCAAAGTCAGTTATTTTTGTTTGTGTTTTGCTGTTGTGTTCGCCATCTCAGGGTCTCCTGTATCACATTAATAAGTAACACTGTGCAGACAAATACTCTGACGATGCATTTGATTTTGTCTATGGCATTGACTAAGCACCCTCTTAAACACAAAGGAAGTTGGATAATTGTTGGGTGTTCCCCTCAGACCACATTCTCCCAAAATTCTCCCAAACAGCGAGAGAGACCTTAGTATTGAACATGCACAGATTTCTAGAAAGGTGCTCCTTGCACGATGGGGACAACTGTGGCAAAGACAAAAGTTGATTTTAAAGAATGCTGCCACTCTGGGACATTCTTGTGAGCTCAGTCCTGAACTATTCTTGCACTGTCAGCTCTGCTGAACATGGGGAGAATGTTCTATTTATGGAGGAAGCTATTTCTTACAGTCAGAATGTAAAGAAGTCCCAGTATCCTAAAACCTTATCTATATAGCCAGTGGGAAAATTCGATGAAATTTTTAAAGGGATAAATATTTGAAGAGATAGAATAATTTAGAAAACAATTGAATAAAGGCATAGTATGCAAACATATAAATAAGAACTTGTTTCTTTCCATTTGAACTGTTTCATTCAGGGGCTAGAATTAAATTGCCGTAGTCCATGGCAAGCTGGGCCTGCATAAAATCTGATAGGAGTTTGTTTTTTCTACATATAGGTCAAGTACTGTCCTTTGTAAATATTGGGAACCGTGACTATTCCTGAGAGCGTAATTGTTTATAAACCATGGCAAAGAGAGAAATCACTGACCACATGAGGCAAGGCAGCAATCTTTCCAGATGGTAAAGACTAGCAATCTCTACTTATGTGTATATTTTAGGCCTGGCCTCCAAAAGTAATATGTGCAAAGAAATGGTGCGGTTGTGTCCAAAGCTACTGAGCCTAATATTTGGCTGCCTCTGTGTTATTCCGAGTTGTAATTTTCCATGTCATCTAAATTTGTAATAATTCTTTAATATGATAGAGTTTCAGCGAACAAACATTCTGCCTGCTGCATTTCTTCTGCGTGAGTAATTCCCTGACAACTACCAGATCTTGGCAGAAGCAAACCTAGTCATAAGTTATGCTCCACTTTCAGTGTGGTGAAGCCCATGATGCGTAACACAGTGTCTTTGAATTCAGATGCTGATTTTCCTAAAAGAAATTTGGGAGAAAAAGAAAAGGAAATGAAGTCCCCAATTCAGGCATACAACTAATGTGTTATCATCAGGCTTTGAAAATACATATACCATTTTTTCCTTTTTCTCTGCGTGACTTGATTATGGCTTAGTGGCTGTTTGAGTTCCAGTGATGAAAAGAGTTAAATCTGTGGCATAAAAGTTAGGCAGCTCATGGGGCAGGCTGGCTGCCACCGATACAGGACCTGACCTACCCCCCAGAAGGATCGAGAAATTGGTCTCCTGGCATGTGTTAAGGTTCTTCCAGGTAACAATGTAATCTTACCTCATTGTTCATAATGGGGGTTTGGACCGCCACCATGTCTGTCTACTGGCAACTCCAAAAGGGCAGGAGCTCTTCCGAAAGCTTACAGAGGGTTATGTCATCTTCACTGGCCCAGCACTTTTTCCATCTGCTAAAATACAGAACAGGAACATAGTTGCTGATTTTACTCTTTCTCAGGAAGAAGTTAGTTGATTGTTGTTTTAAAGATTATACGCTAATTGACATTTTAAAAACTTGGTAAGCTAAGTTTGTTCACGTAGTCAGTCACATTCTTTTTCTCAACAGACAAGAATGTATAGAGCAGAGACGTTTATGCCAATGTCTTAGAAGGTTGGTAGATGTTTCCATATTGAAAAGATGCTCAGACCAGTACTTTTTATCAGGGGTGGCTTTAAAGGTATCCTTTATGATGCAGTCATGTCATGTACTTTGGGCTTAGGAATAGGCTAATTATAGTTGTGTCCTCCATGTGGGAGGAGGTGATATGTCTACAGGATCGCTTAATCTCCTTTAGGCTGTTCTCATTTCCTGTTGTCTCTCAGTTTTCACTTGGTAGATGTTTCTAATGAGATTGGGGATTTAGACAATGGTCAATAATCACCCTGTGTTTTGCACATCTGGGGGTCCATCAGAGCCCACTGTATTCTTTAATAAGAGGAATTCCTGCTAAAACAATTTCTTAATTGCATTCAGAGTGTGCTTTAAAACAATGGGGCAGTCTCCCTCAAAGGTTGTATTATTATGTGTTGTCTCTGCCATTTGTAAGATTTTTTAAATAAAATGACTTCCTTTTTCAATTTTATTTTAAAGGTCTATGGGGAACAAGGCTCATGCAGGAAAGCAGCACTAACCGGGAGAAATACCTTCAAAGTGTTTTGCGGGAACTGGTCACATACCTCCTTTTTCTCATAGTATTGTGCATCTGTAAGTAGACCATTTCCTTCTACTAACAGTGAAGTTTTGAAAAATATTGGACCTGTCAAAGTCATAATTGAAAGGAATTGTATATGTACCAGGAGGATTAATCCAGTTCTCTTTACTCTTCAATTCCAGCTTAGAATTCAGTGAAACTCTCTTCTCTGGTAAATGTTAATTAAAACTCAGCATTATCTAATTAGTAAGTTCACTACCATTTACAATCATTTCCACTGAGATGCATGTGGCAACCTGCCAGATACCAGGAAAGCATGTAGGATTTTTGCATTAGATTTCTTACAAATATAGTGTCACTATTATATCAACTAATGTAAAGATTACATAAGAATTATTTTCAGCAAAAATTATTTCCAAGTTTAACTTTCAGGAAATGCAAATAATGTTACCTACTGTTGGTTTTATGGGTGTATATTTCCCCTTTTTTTGGATTGGAGTATGTTGAGTATATGCCTTTATTCTAAGTCATAATGTCTTCCAAATCTTAAATAATAGCTGACTTTTACTCTACAGGAAATTTATCTCTTCTTCCCTGCATCCTCTGGGAGGGAAGGGAGGTTTTAACTAGAAACAAGTCGTAGGAACGTGGTCGCAGAGTCCTGGAAGTCACAGGCAATAGATTTATTCCTTGGATGAATCCAAGGGTTTTGGATGCTGGAAAGCAAAACCAAGTGGAAATAAGAAAAAAAAAAAGTTGTTTAAGCTAAAAATTCTGTGTGTATGAGCCACATTTATTTTCTTGATTTTTTTTTTCCTTACTGATTTTCCACAATTTTCTGTTACTTGTTTCGGAAGGAATATCTTATGCTTTTTTAAATATGTTAATTAGACAGAAATGCTGAAAAGCTAAAAATGATCTCCTCACTTTGTGAAAAGTCACAAAGCAAAAGAGATATGATATTTTTATCTCTTATTTCCTAAACTGTTAGAGCTTAGAATACCCAAGTATAGTTTGTCCCCTGCATAGAAATAGTGCTTAGACATTAAACTACAGTGTCCTTATACATTAGCAGAATGATTGGAATCATCATTATTTTTGTTGTTTCAAGCACTTCGCATTATTAAATTTATTTATTTATTTTCTTACATCATTGTTAATTTTTATACAGTATTTGATTTCTCCCCTCAGGTGTAGTTCAGGTAGTTCTCCCACTACCACTGCACCTGTGACCCATCACCATGTCCCTGTGCTCTTCCCTCCCCTATTTTGACCCCTCTTGTCCTTCCCCTGTTGTATGCCTCAGAGCTATGGTCAGCTTGCTAGTGTTTGCTTTCCCTATATTCTGCATATAAATGAAGCCATCTGATCTTTATCTTTTTCCTTCTGACTTATTTCACTTAGCATAATCCCTTTCAGCTCCATCCATGTTGACAAAATGGCACAGTTTATCTTTTTTGATTGCTTACTAGTAATCCATTGCATTCATACAGGTTTCTTATGCAACATGTAGGTACCCCATAAGCAAGCCTAGAATTTTGGTGGACCCCAACACTGCCTGACGACAGAATCACCAAGAACTTTTTGTTGTTGTTGTGTTTGTTTCAAAGATTTTTTTTTATTTATTTATGCATACAAGAGCTGGGGCACAGGCCAAAGGTGCGGGAGGTGAGAGGATTCACCAGAGATGGAGTGGGGAGCAGAACAGGCAGACCTACTGAAATACACTATGGACGGGAGCAGCAGGCCAGTCAGGAGAGGTCTGCCAGTGCTATGTGTTAGCTCCCTGGGAGTGGGGGCAGGGAATTGCTTTGGCTGCCAGTAGCTTGATAGTGCTGAGATTTAACCCCTTGCACCACCAGGCAGGCCCAAGAATGTTTTTTTTAATTATAGTTTACCCGGATTTACCAAATCAAGAGACTCCAAGATGTGACCCAGGAAACTGAATATTCAGATGCACTGAGAAATTTGATAACCAGGACAAGCAGTAAACTGAATATGGGAGTTTTAGCAGACCTGCTCTTAGATCATATGACAAATTAGTGTTTTCTTGTTTATTTTGGAATTTTTATGTTTTTGCTCTTTTTCACAGTGATTTTTTTTCTTATATCAGTAGCTACATATTTTATATAGTAGTGTTATTTTCAGAATCTCTGGATAAGAAGGGATCTTAGCAGTCATAAGGTCAAACCTCCAACACATGCTAAAATTTCCCTTGCAGCAGCCTCTCAGATTATCAAAGTCTGCCTTTGACAGAGCAGGAGTTCCAATTTAAGTGATTTACTTGGTCTCTTTATCAAAAACTAAAGCTCTTGGTGCTGGTGCTGGTGGTCAATAAAGAGTCATGTAGCTTTTTTTGATAATGAAAAGAAAAACACCCTAACTGTAAAGGACTGTGTCCCCCAGCTAATATTTGAGCACTTTGTTCTAGAGCATAGTAAAGTCCTTAAATTTCATATCATTAGGGTCTGCTGATTATATTATTATCTCGGATCTAGATTCATTCATCTCATATATTAGCTATTCATATCAACTTCACAATAGCATCAGAAATGGTTTCATCCATGTCCTTATTCCTGGTAAATTAATAAATCAAAAAGGATTGGTCTAGGAAATCAGTCCATTAAGCAAAGCTCTTTGGGTGGAGTTCACTGAATTATAGTATCCTCTAACTTGGACTGTTCATAAAATAGGATAATAAGAAAGACGTTTTCAAATGCCTATCTGAATAACTCCACCATTCTTCTGCTCCATCAGCTGTTGAACACATTAACAAGGCAGTGAGCATAAGCAGCCATGATTTCCTCCTAGTAAAACCTATCGGCTCCCAGAGATTAATCCTTTCCATGTTACTCAAAAATTATCTTTTTAATTATTAGTTTTAAAAGTTTGCTGGAAATATTAATATCAAATAAACAATAGTATCAAATTATTACTTTGTGGGTGAGATAATGTCTTCAGCCCTCTGTCTTGCATATTGGAAACTTCTGCTAGGAAGTAGGTAAGATTCTGAAAGGCATTGTGACAAAATTAGGAAAAGTATAGATATTTTACATCACAGACACCTGGGTTCAAATCCCAGCTCCACCACTTACACCCTAGGTAAGCTTGAGCAAATTATTTAACCTTTAACCTTCTGAGACTTGGTTTCCTCATCTGCGAATACTTACTTTGAAGGACTTTGTAAGGATGCACTTAATAATGCATTCTTAGGAAAAGCTTCTAAGATGCTGTCTGTCATATATTATAAGGGTAAAATATTGTTGACTGTGGCTAAATTATTTCATCAGTGTATTCTAAGGACTGCAGGTCCTAACTGATATTTATATGGAGCCGCTAAGTACACATCAAGAAGTTTATTTTTCATCTAACCATGATTCGCTCTGCCCCCCTATGTTTCTAAACATAGTATATGTAAGTCTGTTGAACCAAGAGAACAAAAATAATGTGGGTTGCGTAATCCCACTTCTCTGTAAATTAGGATTTATTCTTACTTTCAAACCTAAGGTTGCTGTGAATGCACCACCACTATTAAGATAGTAATATTACAGATTACTATTACTATTACTGATAGTAATGGTATTTCTATTACAGATAGTAATGGTATTTCTGTTGTGTTTGTTCATGCTTTGAATTTAAAGAAAGGAATGCATAGCATTATAGAAGAACTTTGAAGAAGATTAAGAAAGGTCTTTGGTGAATCTATGAAAAAATGCACTTGCCTCTTTTTCCCCCTGTTTAAACATGGTAATAGAAACCACAAAGAAAAGTTAATTGAGTCAACATCATAGAAATTTTCTATATATCAAAAAAATAGCTGAAATTGAAAGGCAGAACACAATTATAAGAATACTTAGGAGAAATATCATAAAAGATAAGTATATAAACATATTTGAACCCACAGATCACTGAGAAAAACACTAAAATCTCAGTAAATGTCTTACAGAATAGAATACATATTTCATGAAGTAGAAAATATAATTGATTGATGTGGTATAGTCTTTAACTGTAAGCTCACTACATCCCAGGAAGAAATGAAGAGGGGGATAGAATGAGTATAATACAGTATTATATGTCCTAGGACAGGACATATCTTTGCCTCTGGAAGAAGGAGACTGCCTTATATTCTAAAGTAAGGAAAAAATAGTACAAATCACGTTATACACCATAAGCTTACATAATGTTATATGTCAATTATATCTCAATTTTGTAAAACAGACATGAATACTTTGGTTTATTTATAAAAAGCCCGCACAAGTGATAGCCCAAAAGCAGTTTTCATTATTTGCAAGGGAGTCTATACAGATCCAGTTGTTAATAGTCAGGGAAGTCAGAAATAGTAGGTCATTCCTAACACTGGGGAGAGTTCATTCAGTTCCCAGGGGCAAGCATCTGACAGCTCTGTAGCTTCCTACAACAACAGGTTGTGACCCATGCAAGTAAGGAAAGATTGACTATGGCTGAAAAGAGCTTTGTCCTCTGATGAAGTGGACAGAAACTATAAGGACAAGGAATGCATACTCATGTATAAATACAATTTTGAACAGGCTCTTTACTCCATGTACATAGTTTTCTTTATGTCTTCATGGTAACATCTAATTATTATTCATTATTACTGATCATCCTTTCCTTTTAACACCAAAAGAAATGTTGGATCAATATAGGCATTTGCAAAAAAGACTTGGATTGACAACCATTGTTCCTTAAAAATTTTCATCCAGCTTGTTCCTTACAATTTTTTTTTGAATCTTAACCAAAACTGAATTAAAATAATTGGGTTTTTGTAGACAACTTTAGTTCATCTCTCTTATTTATTCCATGGTCTCACTTCTGCCTCCTGAAGGGCCCCTACCCAGAGCACTAGGAATCTCTTAATTGCTAAATTCATTTTTTTTTCTGTTTCATTGAGAAATAATCCACACTCCAGTGTGTAAGTTAGGGCACACAGCATGGTGGCTTGCTTTACATGTCTTGCAAAATGCTTACCATGACAGGTACAACTAACATCAGCTTCTCGCATGGATACAATAAAAAGAAAAGAAAAAAGGAAAAT